TGTAAAATAGTTTTTTTATATGTTGCACACCGGGTGAAAAGTCAGTCGTGTAACATCGACGGTCGCTCCTGTACCCTACTTGACAATATACTATTGTAGATTACATTGTACCGGTAACTTGCAATATCGATATATCGATATATCGATATAAACTGTTACATCTAGTTTTGCAAGACGTAGAGATATGGAAAGTTACAATCTTACAATTAAACTAATACGGTTTATAAAAAAAAAACTTGTAAGTTTTTAGGTTGAAAATATTAATATATGCTTAAATTTGAGCAAAGATTTCTTGGCCAAATTTAATAATGAAAATGATACAAGTTCATAGAGCTAGTATCAAATACTCTAATGCTGGTCATTAAAAAATTTTTTTAACTTATCAACCAATTAGACAAATTCTCCGGGATCTGATCGATCGATCGGCCGCGTTTATATTAATGCATGCTTACATACTAGGGAATCATATAAAAAGCCCAGAATTAGATCATCGTAAAATTTTCATTATTATATAATAAATGACTTGGAGAAAGAAAAAACGGGGTGGAAACAAGAAAACTCGTCAAGAGGCACCACGAGAAAGAGATAATACTAAAAGCAACTTTAATGATATTGTTAGGGAAAATGAAGCTTTCGAGAAGTATTACAAGGTATACCACTATTGTTAATTACCGAGGTTAACAATCGAATAGAGACACTGTTGAGAATATTATCTAAATTTTGGCTTTTTATTAAGCTTATTAATTTAAATATTGACAAATCTTATCTGATCAAATAAACCATTTCATTTTAAAGGTTCAAAATATTATACCTGAAACAGAATGGGAAAGGTTTATGGAAGTAAATAAAACTACTCTTCCAACTTCATTTCGTATTACTGGGAGTCGAAGGTATAAAGCATACTATAATATTATATTTTATTTACGCATAAAATTATTTCAAGCTAAATATATTTATTAGAAATTTATTTATTAAATTGAAAGTAATGCATTTGAATTACGTAATGTCCTAGTAAATGTTCATGTTCCAGAATTGAATAAAATCCAATTTGGTGATGATAATAAATCTGAAGCCCCAAGGCCTTTACCTTGGTAATATTAAGAGAAAATTTTGATTCTAGAAAATTATTATTTATAAAGTATTTAATGATCAATCAGGTACCCGGATGAATTTGGATGGCAACATTCCGCACCAAGGAGTACAATTAAAAAAAGTCCTGCATTTCAAACTTTTCATAAATGGCTAGTTGCAGAAACTGAAGTGGTTTGTTTAGATTTAGATTTAAATCTAAGTTTAGATCCTTTACAATAATGCCTTTTTTTGAAAAATAATTATATTTTTTGCGCGCACACAGGGAAATATTAGTCGTCAGGAGGCAGTTAGTATGATACCACCTTTGCTACTAGATGTTAAACCTGGTCACTGGGTGCTTGATATGTGCGCAGCTCCAGGATCAAAAACTGTACAAATGTTAGAAGCGGTGCATGCAAATGACTTACAAGATAAGACAATTCCTTGTAAGTCTACCTGACGATGAATCTGCTAAAAAAAAAAAATATTATTTGCATACAAGATTAATTTATAGTTTTCTTTAGCTGGTCTCGTCATTGCAAATGATGCTGACCTAAAACGAAGTTGTATGCTTGTACATCAAGCTAAACGGTTGAAAAGCCCATGTTTAATAGTAACTAATCATGATGCAGCACAATTTCCTGGTGTATACGTTAAGCAGGTTTTTTTTTATTTGTAATTTTTTGTTGTCCGATAGCATTATCACTACACGTTTTAGACAGTACTAATATCAATTTATTAGGGTCTAACCGAGGAAAAAAAGCCAATACAGTTTGATCGTATCTTAGCAGATGTTCCATGCAGGTTACAAATATATCTTCATTAATGATACGTTGGTTAAACAAAATATTTAAAATATTTTAACAATTATTAAATCATTTTTCAGCGGTGATGGAACTTTAAGAAAAAATTTTTTGATTTGGAAAAATTGGGGCATAGGAAGTGCCGTTGGA